ACCGGTTTTCGCTAGCTGTGTAAGCTGATATCTGTCAAACTGGTGTTTACAAGCGAGTATTAGCCATGTGCGTCCTTAGAAAATATGAAATCAGCGAATGTATTAATTCAAAAAACACAAACTAAAGTTATTAGACCTGATAATTATTGTAGACTTTGCCGCTGCAGTCCTGCTGTTCTAGGAAGAGGGAAGTGTAATCTATTTAATGGTAAAACGACTGGTAAAACCACTACTTCTTCGCTCGATACACTCGCGAAGAAGTTAAGTAAAGTCTTGGGAATCCCTGTCACCAGAGTCGATGGAGTTTCCTCGATTGTTTGCTACAGAAGCTCTCAGACTTGTTATTTCTGGAAATTTCTCTCTCTCAAAGTCTCGGCCAAAGCGATTGAAATCTCTAATAAAACTCTATCTTTCTCGTCCGCCATATTATTCACTTCTTCGTATAATGTTGTCTGGGCTAAACGTCACAAAACGTCACAAACTCGAAAAACCGGTTTGATCTTATTAGCCAATCAAAACGCCCTATCACACGTTAGCCAATCAGAAGGCTAGGGTCAGATTTTGACTCGGAAACACAATATAGGTCTCTCATTGGTTCGGCGGATTCAAAGGATTAACGCTTGCGCCCAGAGGTTATTTCTCCTTGCGACTACTCGTCAACACAGCACAGTAAATGCCGGAGCGAGAATGCAATAACCTCTGGGCCCCAGGGTAGTCGGTGCAGAACAATAGTTATTCAAATTGGTCGCCATATTTTGATACGGTGTATGGTGATTCAATGTAAAAAGCAAAACAAAGAAATTAGAAGCAGCTGTATATTAAAGAGAAACACTGGCGAGAGCTTGTCGTTGGGTTTAATGATTCTTAATAATAACACATATTTACAAGTTAGTTTTATCAAACATTAAGAATATCTTATATCGTGTCTAACACAGAATGAACCCCTCCCCTCCCCCCTCGTGCAAAGTAAGGGCATTTTGCATGACGTTGCCCCAAGTTGATAATATTGAAAGCACCGGTCAACCACCGGGTTTTTCACGACCCGACTTTATATTCCGTAAGGTAGCACCGAGCTAACACCGGGTTTTTTACGACCCGACTTTATATCCGTTAAGGTAGTATCTGATTTAGAAATAAACGCTCGTTATAGTTATATTAATGAAACTTACAAATCCTGGACACACAACGGGATTTTATGCTCCTTCTTTCCCCGGTAGCCGGGTATATGACTCGTTAAATTTGCTAGGCTTGCTGTCCAACAACATAGCTACCATAAAAGTACAGTGTATTGGAAAGAATGGGCACTGCACAGTACTGCACATTTTACACCGGTTTTTCTTACAGCTAACATCGGACAATCTTGTTTGTATTAAAAGTACCTGACCCCTCCCTCCTGGGGATACTGTTTGCTAACCTACCAATCAAACCTATTACTAGTTTGGTTTGAGCCTTCGCTTCTGTAGAGCAGCGGCAGCTGTACCAGGCCTGTAACCATGGGATACCTGAGTGACAGGTGATTGGCTGGACGGTTGAGGCGAATCTTCAGACGTTCTCTGAGTACTTGGTGGGTCTGGTAAAACTCTACCAAAAAAACATGGGCGACGTTAAAACCCTCTATAAAAGATGACAATCTGCTACAGCACCACCATATTACACCCTCCATGGTTGAGGGGGAACTGGGTCAAGTTGGCATGGTATTGCATTGTGGGACTGTTTTGGGGACGAAATAGACGCCATCTGAGAAATGTTAACCCTTAGACAGTCCCACAATGCACTGCAATGCCAACTCAACCCAGTTTTTTCTCAACCTCCGAATGGCTAAAGTGGTGTTGCTTGTACCCATGCTAGACCAGAATGCATCATGCCTTAGGGAACCCGATAATTATATATTGATTATTTATTAACTATCAATACCCGTAACGCCTGAGAGCTCTGACAGGAGCTGAAGACAACCTCGGCTCAGTCTCTACCACAGCTGAACCGATGGAGGGGTCCTGGGAACCACCGTAGATATCGATTGATTTTCATTGACGTCCAAATCCAACTTATTCTTTAGTAAACGTTCTACTTTTTCTTCTGTGGATGTTTGTCGATACCTTGCAAGGGAATGCACGTATATGTCAGTATTGAATTGTAGGGGGAGGGGTAGAGTTAATTGTTTTCCACAGGAAGCCCATGATAAAGAAAGGTCAAGCCTCTGATAAGCGGCCCAGGGAATACCAGTACATGGCAGGACATGTTCAATATTAGGGGGGAGGGGTAAAGTTGATTGTATTCCACAGGAAGACCATGATAAAGAAAGGTCAAACCTCTGATAAGCAGCCAAGGGAAACATGGCTTTCCATAAGAATGGTTATTGTATGAGTGAGAAACATGGCTTTCCATAAGAATGGTTATTGTATGAGTGAGAAAAAAGGCTTTCCATAAGAATGGTTATTGTATGAGTGAGAAACATATGGTACTGACTTACAGCACGTACAAGGTACAACATGCTGTAACATTCAAAATGGCTTCCCATTGTCTTCAGTAATTCATCAAATCACATACCATAGTTACGGCTACAGTACAGCTATGGCTATACTTTTGCCGTATAATTTCCCACTCATACCAAAACCACTGTATATAATGTCTTGATCAATACCTTCTTATCCTAAACTCTCCAGAAGTGTGTGGTCGTTGGAGATCCCTCCCCACCAGGGGTGCCGTAGGTAATGATCTCCCCAAAGGAGATGGTCTTTTGTGATGATGTTCATTGGGTGGGGGAGGGGAGGGTGACATTTCTGGTCGAGGAATGGTTGGTGATGCCGAGGAAATGGAGTCAGCTGCTTCAGTTTTTCTTGGTGAGGAAAAAGGGGTGTCCCTGAAATGTGAACAACATCTCTTTTTGAGTTTTTTATTTTTGTATGCTCAAGATATTAATTTCCTTCTGGCTAATCATCTTAAGTTGTTTCATTCAACCATTAATTAATTATTATTATTTATAGTTATTATCGTTCTTATCATCAGTATCATCATTGTCGTCGTCATCACCATCATCACCATCGGTCATCATCACCATCATTGCTATCATCATCATCGTTATCTCATTACCATTATCTCTGTCATCCTCATCATCATCTTCACTGTCATCATCTTCACCGTCATCATCATCATCAGTGTCATCACCATCACCATCATCAACATTATTATCACTATCATCATCATCATCAGTGTCATCACCATCACCATCATCAACATTATTATCACTATCATCATCATCATCAGTGTCATCACCATCACCATCATCAACTTTATCATCACTATCATCATCATCATCATCAGTGTCATCACCATCACAAATATTATCATAACTATCATCATCATTGGCATCATAATGTGTAGCCATTACTCACCCTTCTGATTGGCTAGATTCTGTATCAGCACTTGTTGGTAACTTATGATCCTCCTCTAAGAATCTTAACAAACAAAGAATAATATGATGATAATATTTCAGGGACTGGCCTGAGAATACATGGCATATCACTTATCACTTCACTTTCACTGTAGCCTGTAGCCATCATCAAGTTGTAATACTGAAGAAATAGAACACGCCACACATGCTGTGTGCAGTTATAAAGCACAGAGGGATTGGTAGAACACGAGAGAAGTGTTGGGAGAAGATTATTAAAGAGATAATTGAAGTCAATATTTATACAGAGACATCCAGTTTATCAAGGTTAGTTTAACTGGAGTCCTGATATAACATAACAGTTTATCAAGGTTAGTTTAACTGGAGTCCTGATATAACATAACAGTTTA